TGTGAATGTCAAACACAACTCAAAATGGATCAAAGTAACAGTAAAACGAAGACCCAAATACAGGAACTGGCCTCATTTTTCACTCTTCTTTCAACCAGCTTCTAACCTCCAGTAGCCATGCTGTTTCCTCCAACCATCCTATTTTATTTATTTCCTTTTGCCATCCATGGAGAACCAGACATAAGCATTTTTCGTCTCAAACATTGTGCCTGTTACATTGGGAAAGGTGTGATCTAAAGATGTAGAGGTGGGGCACTCTTCTGACCCAACTTCCTGCTCCACCCTGACACGTGTGCTCAGTGCCCCTGTCCCCACTCACCTCCTGTGGGAGGGCTTCAAGGGCTGGCTGTGCACATGTGAACAAAACAGGGCAAAAGACCTTTACATAAGAGGCTTGCACCAGGTTATCTATAAAAGAAAGCGGGTCAGGCCCTCTCACACTCTTTTCCTTCTCTTTCTCATGACCCCAGCTCCAGACCCTCCAATACAGAAGGACCAATGCAGAACCTGAGGTACTCTCTCTCCCTTTTCTTTCATAATTTCTCTCCCCCCTTGCTTTCCCTGGACAAAACAAGGCTGTCATATTCTACCTCCCATATTGAACTTTGTTGTGGGTATAGGGAGCTTGTGGACAGTATGATGTGGCTTCCAGCCCAGCACCTTCAAGAAGTTTGTTTTGCAAGCTGAGAAAGTAATTAAGTGTATGATATAAAATTAAGGACTACTTAGCCACTGCATTTGTGGAAATGTAAGAATTTAAGGGCTTGTTAGCCAACAACCAGGGCTCAACAGGGGGCTGGTTGCCAAAGTTAAAAACACAAGAATCCAGCCTAGTGAGAATTTACAACTAACATCACTCCTCCACTGATGAGTCGTGACATCATCCCTACTGTATTTAAAAATGAAAGTAGGAACCTTTATGTGCATATATACCACCTGCTCACTCAGATGTGGTTTACATGGATAAGCCAATCAGCAAAAGCACCAGGTGGCATTTGGCTTGGCTTCTCCCATCCAACGCCCTGACAGGATTTGGCTTCCAAGAGGCACCAAGTCTTTATTTAAGCAGGAAAAGACCGTCTCCCCTTCCTTCCCTCAGACAAGCAGCCTCTCCCATACACAGCCCTTTTTATGTTTCTCCACTGGTTCCAGCCACTCTGTGTGCATACATTTACAGCCTTTTATCTTTATTTGCCAGTCAGTTTTTAAGCTCTATTCGGTAACTTTAGGAAAAACTCAACATTTCTATTCTCTATGTAATTTGTCACCCTTGAGGCCATTCCCAACATGAGACTGCACAGCCAGAGCAGAGCCTTAGTGCCAGCGGTCAGAGTACCCGGGGCTGTGCAAAGCAGAGCACATTCAGAGCAAGGCTGCCTATTCTCCCCTAGACCGCTGCTAAATTACTGTTAATTATCGCTTTGCCGCCCTAAGCTACAGCCAGTTACTTTCAGGGACGCCACTCTCGCTGGCTGCAGCCCCGATTTGGGGCGATGGCTGAGGAAGCCACTTCTGGTTAAAACACCGAGCGAAAGCCGCGCTCGAATCGCGGATCTCCGGCTGCAGGCCGCGCTGCTCGCGGTGAGGGGCGGCCCCGCCTCCCGCCGTGCCCGCCGCGGAGCATGCCGGGAGTTGTAGTTCCGCGGCCGCACGGCCCCGTTCCCCAGCTGCTTCCCCGAGGGGCGCGCCGGCTCCGCCAGACCCGTTCCGGCCCCGCGGCTTCTCGGCGGGCAGCGCTGCTCGCCCCGGCCGGGCATGCGGCCGCTTCTGCAGCGGCTCCTCCCTGCGCTGTGCTCGGCGGGGGCCCGAGCCGTGCTCGGTCGGCGGGCCGTGCGCATGGCGCTGCGGCCGGCGGAGGCAGCGGAACGGGCCGGGGGCGATGCCAGAAGCGCGGCCGACGCGGCTCCGGAGCACGGTGAGAGGCGGCGGGACAGCGGTGCGGGACGGGGACAGAGGGCAGGCGCGGGCGAGGCCCCGCGTCCGCCTCCCCCTGGGCTGCGGGCGGGCGCTGGGGCGGAGGGGAAAACTTTTCAACTTAATTGTGGGCTCTTGTTGATAGGGCTCCGGCGCTTCCCTGCCTGCCTGCCCCACTCAGTCCCTAGATAGTGCCTGCATCTGACCTGACTGAACACGAAATCTACTTTTTTTCCCCCTAAGTTTACTACTCCTCCTTTTCTTTTTAGTTCCCTAACCGTGTATCTCACCTGGCTGAATACTACTCCCACCGTTTTTCTACAAGAAACTGTATTATTATTATTATTATTATTATTATTATTATTATTATTATTATTATTATTTGCTTACCTATGTAAACTGTAAATCCAGCACTGGAGGTTCAAAATGCGTCGACACCAAGACCATCTACTTCTACAGCAGCTCTCAGTTAAACTGTCTACAAAGGATGCATTTGTTATTAAAAATATTAAGAGAAAGCAGCAGGTGGAAGCTCAGCACGAGCCAAGGAACCCCAACCCTCTTCTCATCAGATGGAGGGGAATGGAAAAGGGTCGCTGCTCAGAGAGGTAAAGGAATCCCCTCCTGGCATCCCTTGCCTCTCCCCTCCTTATGGAATAGGTAGGAGGCTCTGGATCTTGAGGGTCAGACAGACAACAGTGTAGAAGAAGTTTTATCTGGAGGATCTTCCAGACCAATGCAGACCAATGCAACCAGGCGGATCACAAATACAAGTATTAATTAAAAAAGAAGGTAGCTGTAGTGGGTGAATAAGACAGTAAGGCTTCTGAGAATAAGGCTGTGGATGTTGTCTAGCTGGACTTCAGCAAAGCCTTCAACACCATCTCCCACAGCACACTCTTGGCAAAGCTGGCAGGCCACGGCTTGGACAGGTGCACTCTTCTCTGGGTTAAGAACTGGCTGGGCAGCCAGGCCCAGAGAGAGGTGATGCATGGTGCTGCATCCAGTTGGCATCTGGTCAGTAGTGGTGTCCCTAGGGATCAGTGTTTGGTCCAGTCCTGTACAATATCTTTATTGATAATCGAGATGAGGGGGTCAAGTCTACCATTGGCAGATTCACAGACAAGATCAAGTTGGGTTGGAGTGTTATTCTGCTGGAGGGTAGGAAGGCTCTGTAGAAGGACCTGGATAGGCTGGATCGATAAGCTGATTTCAATGATATGAGGTTCAGCAAGACCAAGTGCTGGGTCCTGCACTTTGGCCACAATCCCCCACAACACTACAGGCTGGAGACAGAGTGGCTGGGAAGTGGCCCAGTGGAAAAGGACCTGGGGATACTGGTTTTGACAGCTGACGAAACATGAGCCAGTATTTTGCCCAGGTGACCAAGAAGGCCAATGGCATCCTGGCCTGGATCGGCTATAGTGTGGCCAGCAGGAGCAGGGCAGAGATTATCCCAATGTATTTGGCACTGATCAGGCCACGCCTCAACTCCTGTGTCCAGTTCAGGGCCCCTCAATTCAGGAAGGACATTGAGTTGCTGGAGCGTGTCCAGAAAAGGGCAGTGGTGCTGGTGAAGGGTCTGGAGCACAAGTCTGACAAAGAGCAGCTGAGGGAGTTGGAGCTGTTTACCCTGGAGTAAAAGGCTCTACAACTACCTGGAAGGAGGCTGTAGCCTCCCCAGGTGGGGATTGGCCTCTTCTTCCAGGCAACCAGCAACAGGACAAGAGGACACAGACTTAAGCTGCATCAGGGGAGATTTATGTTGGACATTTGGAAGCAATTCTTCATGGAAAGAGTGGTTAGATACTGGAACGGGCTGTCCAGAGAGGTGTTGAAGTAATGTCTCTGGTTCTGTTTAAGGAATAACTGGACATGGCACTTAGTGCCATGGCCTTGCTGACAATAGGGTGTTCAGTCATAAGTTGGACTCTATGATCTCAGAGGTCTTTTCCAACCTAATTGATTCTGTGATAAACCTATTAAACACATTAACATAAACAACGAACAGGGAACAGTGCCTGAAAATCAAGTCTCACTGTGATCTGTGATACTTATATGTGAAATAATAGAAGATTATTCTATCTGAAACAATAATCTCAGTATGTAGAGAAGGCAGCTGGGATCAGAGTGCAATCAAATCTATTTTATTGCTCCTTATTTTTCTGGTCTCTCCTTTATGAGGTGGGAGTATTGTGATTTTTTTTTTTTCTGCTGGAACAGATGACAAATGCTGGTGAAGATCAGCAGCCACCTAAATACAAGTAAAGGAATAATGGATACATCTACTCATATATGAAATTTGGGCAAACATAATTAAGCACACAATTAAGAAAAAGGAGTTTATCCTGTAACAGCTTGATGGTCAAAAAGTTCCTACAGAAGCTGGTTTTGTACGCTAGGTTTCAGATTATTAACATTATGTCAAGAATTTTGAAAAATCTTGTTTTCATGTTGTTTTAATGACTAGAATGTAACTCTTGAATTTTGTTGCCGATTTCTTTAATTAGTATTTCCAAAAAAGCAAGGGAGTTCTGGTTTTTTGGGTTTTTTTGGTAGAGGCACAACCTGTAGAATTTACACACAGTGCCTGCTCAGTTCAGTTTACTGAAGGTGCATTGTTAATTTAGCTGTGCCTTTACTATTGTGAATAGGCAGCATTTTGCAAAGTGGCACAAGTATATTGCTTTTTGAGCAGATAGAGCAAATGAAACCTGTGATCTGCAGTATACACCCCTCAGATTTGTTTGAACCCTTGTTCTGTAGCTGATGCTAACTTAACAACCCCCTTTTGCTCCCAGCTGATGATGATTCTGCACCGCTGAATTTTGAGGTTTTTTGCCCCAGCCTGACCTACTTACCTGTCAGTTTCATGGACCTCTGTCTTGTCCTTCACTTTGAGATCTCTTTGGATTCAGGGTTGTTTTCGCGTTGTATGCTCGTGGATACCAGAAATAATCTGTTTTATGTGAGTTTTAATCTAAGTGTCAAGTAATAATTTTATTATTGCTTTAGCATCTGTTTGTTGTGCATAGTGCTTTAGTGTCTGCACGGGGAACAAGTAACAAAGCTAAATACTTTGTTGCCTTTGAATAGCCTGGGGCGATGAAGTTAGGTGTCGGACTACAACCACTGAGTGATTTATGCCTACCTACTTTAGCCTGGAGTGAATTAGCATTTAATCAGGGTGTTCTTTTATTTATCTTCCCTAGCAGAAAGTGATATGTGTAAGAAACATTCCACAGAGTGATAACCACCCACACTGGGCCTGTAATATCGATTTTATACATGTGTAGCCTTGCATGTCCCAAGAACATAGTGTACACTTTTGCTGATGAATTTTCCTGTTAGGCCAGATTTGGGCCATCTGCACTGGTCATGAGAGGGGCTCTGAAAGTGCGTTGTCTGTAGTAATGAGCTGTCCTGGGATAAACTGCAATTCTAACATATGGCTCCTTCCACTACAGTAATCCCATTGTGGGGTTGTCCCAAAAGAGTATTGCTGGATGCCTGATTTTATGCCCATTGTTTGCTGCTAGAGAAGATTTTGCTTGTTCTTTTTTTAAGGTATAACTTAATATGCCAATATTAGAGTTACTGATACAGAAGCGTGAAGTAGACATAAGGAAATGACTCATGCTCAGTTAGTACTCTTGGGGAAAATGACCTTTTAAAGAACTTGTTAGTGGACATTATTCTGTCCTAACTCAAAATATTCTGTGATTGTGGTATTACTCTGATGCTGAGCTTCTTGTATATCTTTGTACATGCAAGATGTGTTTTCATTTACACTGATTTCCTTCTTTAGCTGAAATACTAAAAGTCAGTTTTTGGAATGAGAAATTCAGATCATTGCTGCCTAAAACATGCCATACTGAGTGGGAGATGCAGGAATAGTAATCACCTCATTCCTGAATGATAGAGTCAGCTGAGAACCCTTTGTTTTATGTGCAATGATAGGATTCCCTTCCTGCTTCTTCATGCCTCATTTTCAGTGTGTTTGCAGTGGAATTAATTTGCCAATGTTTGTCTGCACTGAATTTCATATGCCATTACTGTTATCTAAAATGAACTTTATGTGATGTCTGACGGCTATTATTTTTTTTGGTCAGTTGTAAGTTTGGAGTTTTTTTGCAGTAATTTCATTTACTTGGAACCAAACAAGACCATAGGTTATTAAAATATAGAAAGCAGAACTCTGTTTATTTGCTATTTCACATAAAATGTTGAAGTATTTTTACTGATCTGTTGACAAAGAAGAACAGGATCCTTGTGGGGTTATATGTCAATATTTGCTGATAATTAATGAAATGTTTACTTGGTATGTTGCTTATGTATAATGTCTCTTAGCTGTTTATATCAAAAACTAAGACCCAGTTATTTTTAAAATATTACAGATGGGCTGGAAAATGTACAGCAAAAGAAAATCTTTGAAGAGAATAAGGAGAAAACACCAGAGAGAGATGAGCCATGTGCTGCTGATTCAGTAGACTCTGTAATGGCAGAAATGCCATTTGTGGACACAGATATTGAAGATGAATGTGCTAGTAAGTACATTAAACAGAAGTAACGTGAACACATCATGCACTCAGTTCTTGGTCCTATCTATTGGCATGGACACATGGACCATGCACATGGAACAGTCTCCCTGCAAGCAGGTTGCAGTCCAGAGCCTCCATTATTAGTATTCAGTCCTGCCAGTACTTGAGCATATTAAGAATTCACCCTTTTGTTATCCTGTAGAGCAATGAGTCACAGAATAAAGACATTTCATGTGTCAATTCACATTACTGTATGTGAGCTTCTGAGGTGATGGGTTTTGTGAGCTGTGTTTCAATGTGTGTATTCCCAGCATGGGGCTGGAGTACACTTCTAATTGGGCACTGGATGTCTGCAGCCTGGTCAGCTAATGGATATGTATCAGGCCATGTGGTGGGAGAGGGACTGTAAAGGCTCAAGGAAATGAGCCGAGAGAAAAACAGTTATGTGCAAAGGAAGAACTGAGAAAACACTCATTTCTTTCACTATATCAGAAGGTGTCTCTGGGAAAGGAGGAGATAGACAGCAGATCTGGCTGGGATGATATTTTCTTCTGGGCTGGGTTTGGTTCCTGTGCTATAGGTTAGTCAGTCTTAGTCTACTACAACTTTTTGCTTTAATAACCCTACGCATTACTGCGTTTTATATTTCAAAATGCAGAGTGCATGGAATTTTTGAAGTTCAATATTGGCCCTTCTCTACAGTCATGTCCATGTTCAAGTGTGGACAATTTGCATACGTTGGCTAAGGGAGTCTCAGTGGTTTGGAAGCCATGTGTGCTAGCAGCTTATAAACCTTGCTTAGTGGTGTGGGCTGTTAGTTCAGGTGTGGTACTTCATTTGTATGGCTACATTAATTCAGGTCACAGCTGGATCCCAGTCAGATAGTGCACAGCAGGGAAGACATGTTCCAGTCAGTTGACTGAAGTCCAGATTCTGTTGGTGTGATATTAAGAGTATCTTTGTTTAAATATCTGTGTGCTGGAAGTAACCTTTTTCTTTTTTTTCCTCTTCAGTGCATGCAACTTCTGAACAAAGTATTAAGAAGAAAAGAAAGCGGACTACTGGAAGGGAAATTGAAGAAGGCATTGAGAGAAAGAAAAAGAAGAATAAGCAATATCAGCCAAATTATTTCATTTCTCTTCCAATTACTAATCCAAAGGTGATATTCTTTCTTATGCTAATTTGGTATCACCAGAATTACTTTAACAGCTGCATGTGTTTATGAGAAGAACAGTGTTTGATATTATGCAGAACTTTTTTTTTTTGAGGTATTTTTAAAGAAGCATTAGCAGTCTATTCAATGAATAATGCTATGTTACATAACATTTTTGTGAGAAAAACTGCTTTTCTAAAAAAGACTGGAGGAAAAATACTTATATTTTTATTCAGTTTGTCAGTCTTATGGATTTCACTGAAGCTGAAATTTCCCCTCTCTAGTGTTACTGTATTGCCTATTTTGTTGTTCATGTAGAATAAGGGAGACATTCCTATTTAATTTAATAAGAAAAACTCTAGCAATATTTTTAGATTTTTTTATAGATACAGATTTGTATTTGGATCTGTTACTGTTTTAACTTGTCAGTTTGAAGTTTAGCATTTTCCAGTAAAATGGTTCATCTCATTTAAAATTCAAACACCTGTTGTTTTAGTGAGATGTTGTTCACACAGATTCAGGAAACGCAAAGAGCTCTTTAAGAAAATGTATTTTCTTATAGTTACATGAGTTGTCTCATTTAGGCAGTAAATGAAAATGATTTCTTACATGCTGCAGGTTGTCTCTGGTACATCTTTGATATCTTTCGTGTCTGAAACAAGGAAAGTAGGTGCCTTATGTTTAAAAAGTTGAACCCGGCAGTTTAGCACCATTTGCATCTAGTTCGTGGGGTTTTTTAATATCAGGAAGTATCGCAGATGAATTTTAACTTATCTTAACATCTGTATTATCAGTTCTCTGAAAAAGTAAAAGAAGATTAAGAAAATATGAAGTGAGAGTAAAATAGGTTTCAAAATGACGCTGCAGTCTTTGATTCTTCAAATTATAATATATGAAGAGACTGTAAAGGCTGGTTTTATAACATCCAGGGTAGCCTGATACAAATATTGTAGGGTATCTTTTCTTCCAGATCTGTTTAACAGATTCCATGATTTAACAAGTGCAAGAATAATGTAGGGGTTATATAATTGAGAATTCCTTCTGATGATTGTTACTATGCCCAAGGATTGATTGGGACGGTCTTAAGTATGCTTGTTTTTTAATAAGTCATTATTTAGTCATGTCATTTACAGAGGTAAAGAAAAAACTCTTTAAATTAAATCTCAGAGCATTTGGGAATCCCAGGCCTTTGCTAGAAAGTTTTGTTTATACTTGCCTTAGAGGTAGAGTTGTGCTGAAAGTAGAAAATACACGTTGGAATTTTTATAGGCAATATTAGCCAAAATTTAGACACCTGGTTTCCTAATAGCTGGAGTGAATCTGGTAATTGCTGGTCATATTTCAGTTGGTAATGAGAGACCTTTATTTTTTTTGAAGAGCTGATTTTATTCCAGTGAAGTATTTTAAGCATCATTATTATTTCTTTATATTTGATGTGGTCATTTAAGCTTTACGCAGAGGACATTTTGGAATAAAGGATATTTCTGGAACATTCAATTCACTATTTGTCTTGGAAAATGAACAGTTTTCTTGTTTTCATTTTAATTGTTTTGAATCTTCAGAAATGAAAAGTGTGGTTCCATTAATTTCAAATTTATATTGAACTTGGCATTATTACTTGTGCAAAAATAATTCAACACAGTTCCACATCTGTCTTCTGGACTCTGAAGGGCTTGTACATTTACATTTATATTTTTTCCTTTGCCAGCTCACAGGTGCAAATTAAATTTAGAAGCAATAGTTGAAAATTGAATGAAATTGTAATTAGTGTGACACTTGCTTTTTTTCTTTTTTTGCTTTAGGTTATAAACTTAAATAATTATTCAGTCAATGCATTGTAATTAGCAGGGATCACATTTACCAATTCTTTGCCAAAATATGGGTTAAATTCCTCCTGTATCTGAGGCAATGAAACTGTTATTTACCCAGGATAAGGTCAGTTCTGACATATGAAGGAAGATGGTTTTATTACAACATGATTTATGATAAGATGTTGGAATTTTCTTCATCTGTCCTACACTACTTAAGACACTCGTGGTTTTGTAAATGCCATATCCCCTTTTCTGGCAAGTAGCTCTCACCTTCTATCCTTCTGTCCTTCTCTCTACCCTTGCTAGCATTGGTTCCTTTGAGTTATAATTTAGCTATATGACACTACTAGATATCTCATTAGGTTAGCTATCTCACGTGGCTTATTAGGTAAAACTTATGCATGGCAAAACTCATCTTAAGAAATTCAATTAGAAAAATCGCATTAGATTGTGGTTTTTTTCCCCAGGAAATTTACGTGTTCCTTAACACAGCTACCAAGATCTATCAATGCTTTTTTTTATACCTAAGAGCAATTTGTGCTTATCTTATAAAAGTCAAGTCTGTTCATTTGTGAAGTATTCACCACTGAATTTCAAATAAACAAACAGCAAAACAGTGAGATTGGAGTTTTCAGCATGCATCTTTTTGACTTTATACACCAAAGATGATTTGTCTGTAATGTCTTTGATCACTGTGCTTTAAGAAGTAATTAATTTTGTCAATGGTCAGGTTTATTGGACTTGATTTAATTTTCACTAACATACTCAAGAATTGTTGCAGGTTTTTGGTGTTTTGTTTTTTAAATTGCTTCAATCCAACTAGCATAATGTCAAGCACAGTAAACACTTTGGATACAATTTATAGAGCATGTATAACCATATAAATAATTTAAGAACTGTAATTCCAGTGTTTTTAAATAGAAAGACTGATGAAGTTAGAACTCTATACCCATTGGAAGGAAATTTGTCTAAATACATTTGAAGGACGTATATACATTATATCTATGTATTGGACAATATAATCAGAATTGCAAATCAGATACCTCTATGAATGAATTACTGAATATTCTGGTTCTGTGTCTGCCCAATCCTGCAAAGATCAGTTTTTTCCCAGTCACTTACCTGCACATAGCAAGATAGACATTTAGCAGACTGGGCAGAGAAATTCCAGAGAAGCTTTTGATTGGTATTACTGGCAGTGTAAAACTGGATGATCTTAATTTGCTTCAGGAGTTTATGATACTTACAGAAGGAATCTCCTATTAAGGTATGATGGGGAATGTCCAGTGATTTATTAATCACTCCATTTGTACCCAGTTTAGGTTCACTCAGGTGAATTAGCATGGCTTTGTCAGAGGATAAAACTTACTTCTGCTAGAATAGTTTTTACATAAACGTTTGTTTTTAGTTTGTGTGCTTTTTTGTTCACTTGCATGATGGGATACAGCAATTGTTGTAGTGGCTAATTGTTGTTTCTGTCTTTCTTCCCAGATTACTGACAGTATTCAGGCTGTCCAAGATGCAATAATAGAAAAGGATCAAAGGCTTTCCAAAGCAATGGTTCTCTCTGGCTCATTCCATGTCACCATGTTAGTGATGCATTTATCCAGTGAAGAAGAAATTCGCATGTAGGTATTCAGTGTAAATTAGGTATATACTATATTTTTGCTTGATGTGTTCATGAAGAGACTAGCAGGGTTAGCTGGCACTTTTTTGTGCCATACACAGCTCTAATTTACTAGGGTTATTGCAAATTTAATTCATGTTCTTTTTAAAATGCTAATCTTAATATTGGCATTTTCATGACTTCTGGGATGTCATAAGTTCTGAACAAAGTATGCATTTTTCCCTCGTGTTTTTCTTACTGTGTGCTGAACTTGCACACTCAGATCTTGTGTTTGCTAAAGTCATTCTTTTAAGGCAGTGTTTTGATATAGGGGATGGGGAATCACAAGTTTGTTGAAGTGCAGATTGCTCATAAGAAAGTGAGAATCCAAGGTAGAATGTAGGAACCTGGTTGTCAAGGGCATGCTTCTAATAAGTAGAAGTATTTTGCTGAAAGCATTTGACACACCTAAAAATAATGAATGAGCAATATATCTAAATCAGTTGCCTTGTTTTTACACACTTGTTTTCTTTAAATGCTATATCCTTGAGATCTCTGTACTCCTACCTGTCCTGTGAAGATGCAAATTTGTCAGCATCCTCAACAGTCTGATCTGAGGGGACAGAAACAGCCAGGAATAAAGACTAAAAAGGATACTAGATCTGGTAGATTCTCTCCCGTCTCTATGTGCCTTGTTAATGAGTAAACTGTGATAGCACCTGGAAATTGGTGAGAACAACCACCAGCTGTTTATGTGAGATTTTTTTAAGAGTTTGAATTAAAAACTTTTTTTAAAAAGGAGCATGAGATAATACCTTAAATCACATGTACCTCTTAATGAGTATTTTTTAAGAGTTCAAAACTGTATACCAAAACAATATTCTCAAATTCAGGATATTCTGCTACTCTGTGAGCCCCTTCTCAGCTTTCACTGTCTGAATGCCACCAAAGCACTGACTTACAGAGTTCTTCTCTGCCTCTCCCAGCAGAACTCTACAGTCCAGGCACTCAGAACTGTCCTCTAGTCAGCAGCAGCTTCCTCAGAGATTCACCCCTTCCCTGGCCAGATGCCTCCTATAGGTTTCTAGCTCAGCTGTCCTCAGGTATTCTAGATTGCATGTTCTTTTAAATGAGATTTTTTAAAAAAAATTCCTAACTGATGTTTTTTGTTTAATCTTCTGGGAGATCGCAAAGTGTAAAATGCTGAATTTTCCTTTTTCTTGCTTCACCAATTTTTGATACCAGATTAATGGAAAGAAACCAAGATCCAGGCTGGCAAAAGAACCTGTGTGTAATGTAGGGGGAGAGTAATCTCTCAAACAAAATGCAGCTAGTCAACTGGGCATCTGAGAGTTCACAGATCCTTAGGTTTGGATCCATTAAGTTACTTAGATATCTACAGTTTTTCAACTGTGTTTGCACAATAGTGCCTCTGTCTATACAGAAATGAAATGTGTTGAATGCTATTTGAAGTCAAATGCGTGATAAGAATGTACTAAACATAACATTCAATTCAGCACAAAGCCCTTTGTATGGTATTTTAGTACATACAGCTTTCACCCTGAAAATGGAAGATCTGTATTCTAGGCTGCTCTTTCTAAAGGAATCCAGACCTGCAATTCCCATGTGAGTTTCCTAAGTGATTGACGTGGTCTAGCCTTCATGAATATGCTATACATCTCTTTTTGTAGGACTGTATGAAATCAAGAATGTGAGATTTTGAAACTAGAAAGAAAGAAAGCAATCAGGAGTCATGACAGCACTCCCTTCAAGCCAAGAAGTTCTACTCTATGCTAACTGTATGCATAGTCATGGGATCAGGTGCTAGAAATCAGGATGCCTGCCTTTACAGTAAATGCCCAATTATGAGATTATAGTGTGAAATTTTTTTTGCCAGTTTTCTGTCAAAGACTCTGTGAAATCTCACCTTTGCATTACAAATAACAGAACTGACAGAATTGAGTTTGACTTTTTTTGCGAGATTGCTTTTTCTAACAAGTGATCAAAAGTAAAACTCAGAAATTTCTAAAAAGATTCTTTGTGAATCTTAAGTGCTATAATATTTATATTACAACAATTCAGAAAGAAGGCAGGCACTGCTTCTATAATTCTAGCTTGTGTTCACTGAGAATATGCTGTTTAATTAATTTTTTTATATCCTTTTTAACTTTAGATCAAAGTTCTTGTAAACTTTTTGGGTATCTCTGTGGATTAGTTGCACTAGTTGGCATTGTAAATACTATTTGGTATGGAATAACAAGAAAATACCACCGTTGTGTATTTAGCTATTGACTTCAGTGGAAATGTTTGTCCTTGTGCATTATTCTTACAAAGCAATTGTTAGACGTTATAAAGTGGTTGATAGAATACAAAAGTGAGATGACAACTATTTTTCTACATATTTTAGTGTTTGCAAGATTATCAATAAGAGAAAAACTAGAACTAGATCTTCAATGCCACAGTGCTAAACTGAAAGCACACTACACTATGTGGATTGACCTTTCATTGAACTCATCAGGTAGACTTAGGCTGGTCAGTGAGTTCTGCAGCAGATCCTACAGGAAATATAAATCTTTGTTCAGCTGAGGAACAGAGCTAGCCATGGACTTTCTGTGGACTAGTTCTCACATGTAAAAAATCCAGAGATGGATTTTGGATACATTCATGAATCGATACTTAAAAGCCCTCTGCAAGCTTTAACTTGGTTTGACTCAGTATATTGGAAATATCTGTACTTGTTTTGGACTAATTTTTAGGTTCATGTTGGTAAATAAATCTATGCCTGCTTATGTGTGAAGTAATCTGACAGGTAGAACCAGTATTAGATGGTGTTTTTGAAAGGTCTAGAAGTACAGCACATAGGCAAGACACAGGAACAGGCTGTCTAACAGTGATAAGAGGGTCGGTAAGTGATAGAGGCTATGCTTAAAGTAAAATATCTTTGCAAAGGAACAAGTAATTACATTGATGTTTAAAATGGTTATAAAGGAGCTAAAGTACTTCTAGCTTATAGATTAAAGCCCTCTAAAAAGACCACAGGAGGTGTCTATCAATGAAGGATATTTTGTCATGTAATCAACCTTCATGTGTTTCTTAACTTGACCTAGGTTCCACTTAATGCACAATTCACACCATTGTTAAACAAAATGAGAATGTGTAGAGATTCTTGGAATTGTACAGGCTTCAATGAAATCATTTAACCTTATGTAGAAATCACGGTGATTGCTTTCATCCAGCTAGGACAGAAAAAGTAAAAATACCTCTTTTGAGCATTTTTAACCTATTACTGCCATCTAGCGTTTATAAAGTCTGCAACGATTTGGGGAAAATATTAAATTTAGGTTCATTGTATAGAATTAAAACCTTGAGATGTGATCTTTTAGAAAACACTAAGAATGTTTATGTGGTTTCTGTTTAGAATTTGAATCACTCTAAGTGCAGGTCAAAATTATTTCATTTAACTGTACATACACTTGATGTTGCTAATTAAGATGATTATTAGAAGGTTTGTACCCTGTTATTGCAGTTTTTGTGTGCATGCCTCTTAGCTTTTACAGAAAGTAAATGTCAATTGAGATAGTACCTCTTTTAATAACAGTTCTCCATAAGCTTAATTGTAATTTCTGTATAATTTTATCATTATATATGTAATGTCACATCTGTTTATAATTTAACTAACACTGTAGTAACTTTGACTGAAGAAGAATCTTAGTTCAACTGACATATAGGAGAAGAGAGAGAAGAAAATTAATTTAAGAATGGAAAACTAAATACTTGAGTAATCATTTTATTTAAATGGGATGCACAAAGTAATAGGGATGCTGTCATGTTAGCATCTGGATTCTTTGAGGATTGAGATAAATTCTTTTGAGGAATTACACCTGCTGCTAAGTCTGCCTTATTATTTGTATGGTTTTACAGCACAGTGTATGAACCACTTTACCCTTATAAAAAGGTGGTGGTAATAATAGTAATAACTACAACTGTATTGATAGGAAGTAGTGCAAAAGTACCATAGTAGATAATAAATTGATGCTAAAAGATATTTGTTACGTTTATTGATATAATGATTAGTAGCAATTTTTGAGAGCAGAAATATATTGACATTGGCATTTTCTTTCCTCTTGATAGAGCAGTTGATGCTCTTTCAGACAGCAAGATTTTTGTAGAGGATCTCCTGGAAGGAAAAAGAGTGAATTTGTCTTTTCAAGGAATTGATCACTTCAGAAATCAAGTTGGATTTGTGAATTTGGCAGAAAATGGTCATACAACACTACTTAAGGAAATAGCAGGTACAACTTGTCAATCTAGTTTAAGTGTTTTAAAGACTTCTCAATAACCTAAATGAGAATGGAGCAGAAAGATAAGTTGATGCTAATTTAGTCAATATTAATTTACCTTTAAAAACTGTAAATGCTTCATAATTAATTTCCTAGCCTACTTTGCATATTTCAAAAGGATGTTAATGAATTAGAGACAGTACTGTTCTCTGATAATTTTTTATTTAGTATATGTAAAAAACATAGTGCAAACTTGTAAATGGGATGTAAAGACTCCATGCTACCTTATTTTGGTCCCATTTTTATCTGCCTATGAGTCTATACTTAAACTATGTTGTTTACAGATATTTAATAAAAATTCTCAAAGAACAGTACTGTCTGTAATTCATTGGTGTCCTTTAAAACTATCCCGGCAATTCCAACTATTCCTTGGAAAGACTCTTTAAAAGAGTTTTTCAGTATTGATGAATTATCTTTTGTGCTCTGAGGAATGTGAGGTCACTCCATTTTTTAATAGAGCAATAACCCATATAGGACATTTTGCAGAGTAGCAAAGACTGCTGCTCTCACACGTCCTAGTTGCAGTCCAGTCCAAAGGAAAAAATTGAAAAAGTCTTTATTAATACAATGTTTTCTCTAGCAATTCATTAGTTTCATTTCTGAAGTGCAGCTGTTTTGACCTTTTACAAAGACCTCCGTTGAATTTATTAAGGAATCACTGTTTCACTAATTCAAGATTATGTATGGCTTCTGCCATACATTCTGTTCTAAGGTGAATTTTGATTTCACATTGTTATTTTGTGTTGTACATCAATGAAGGAGAAATATTGATAACAGAGGCAACAGAAAATAGCTGAGATTAGCTTCTAAGTGGTAGAAGACAATTTAGTTCCATAAATTATATAGAAAATTCATAATAATAATATCTGAACGTGATTGTTGCATGTCTGCTAATACCAGTGTAAATGTAGGTTTGAGAGAGAAGAGACAGAAGTCTAGGAAAAGCAGAGCTAATATGAATCTTCTGTTTGTTCTGATTTGCTAGTTACTTCCCAAAAATCCATTAAAAGACAAATCATTTGATTATCTACCAGGAATAGTGCTTAACTGTTCTGACAGAGGTTTGAGGAGTATTTTAATAACTCTTTGTCAAAGTCTTTTTAGAAATTGTGCGCTTACAGTGACATATACAATTACAGGATGTTTTAAAAAAGTTTTTCTTATGCTTTGCTGCACCATAGAATATTTCAAGGACTGTTGTGGTTTAGTCCCAGCTGGCAGCTCAGTCCTGTACAGCCAGGACTCTGTCCTCCCTCACTCTTCCCAGGCTGTTCGGAGGAGAGAATCGGAAGAGTAAAAGTGAGAAAACTTGTGGGTTGACATAAAGACAGTTTAATAGGGAAAGCAAAAGCCATGTACTAAAGCAGAGCAAAACAAGGAATTCATTCACCACTTCCCGTAGGCAGGCACATATTCAGCCATCTCCAGGAGAGCAGTGCTCTATCACTAAGGGTGACTTGAGAAGACAAATGCCATCCTCCTTTCTGCTTCTTTCCTCAGCACTGTATATGCTGAGGGTGATACATATGGAATATCTCTGGTCAGTTGGGGTCAGCTGTCCCAGCTGTGTCCCCTCCCAGCTCTTTGTGCACCTCCAGCCTGCTTGCTGGAGAGGTCTTGGCTCTGTGCAAGTGCTGCTTAGTATTAACCAAGACATCCCTGAATGATCAAACCTCTGTTCAGCAAAATCCAAAGAATAACCCTATACTACGCACTATGAACAAGATTACCCAGCCAAAATCAGTGCAAGTACTAAGTGAATTTGGAAAAGGTAATGAATTGCTTGGTTTTTATTTTTACTTTGATAATATATTGTAAATGCTGCTTGAAGCTGATAAAAGTGAATAAGTGAATCCTGATTTTTACCTACAGGATTTGCAGATGTTGATTTTATGGATTGATGCCTGTTATGGTCTGACCATGAGAGGGAGCTTGTATTTCATGAACAGAAAAGTTACTCTTCTGTTTAGAAATATTTTATTTGCTATTGGTTCTTTGTTTTTAAGAAATGTTGATTTCTTGGCTTAAATATTTTAATACAGTTTGGACTGCACTGTAGTACAAGTTAGTTAGGCTGACATGGAGTACAAGTAACTTAGTAATTTTCTTTAACTTTAGTCTAATCTCTTTGAACTGATTTCCTAACAGTCCACACTAGAGAGCAAGAGAAATGGAAACTGTGTCATACTGCCCATCTTCTTCTCTAGATGCTTTACAGCTTTACTCAAGCATAAACTTACACTGCCACCATTCCAAAGCAATCTGACCTCTTTGTGCAGCCACATGGAGACGTCAGCTGTGGCAAAATTAACATTTTTACCTTTGCCAGCTAATTTTTAGCCTATTCCGCTTGCCCACAAAGTTTATATACATATGTATAATATAACTGTTGGCAGAAAAGATAGGACCAGTGGCAGGCATGAGGCTGGAGAGGAGCAGTCTATTCTGACAAGCATGATAGTTTATGAGCTTCTTTAAAAATTGTGAAACCACACATTTAGCCTCCATCTGAGGGTGAATTGCATTACCCTTCCTTCAGGCAGCCTAGAGAAATAGTTTAATGCAGTTAATTTAGTTCACTTTAGTTACAGATGGCTGAAGCTCTGATAAATGAATTTTGCCTCTTGTCAGTTGTTCTTAGGTCGTTTCACATGATGAAAAAATTGGAAATTCAAAGATATTGTAATTTTCCATTCAAACAACTGATTTGTACAAAGTGAACAAACAGGTGGCAGTCCAAATTGCTGCTGTTTAGTTAGGTGGGACTGGAAGTATGATTCTCTGAAATCATACTGAAAACAAGGTCAGCAAGTGTTTTTAGATTTTAATCTACATTCTTTTACATACTGTGCTGCCAAACACTGAATTGCAATAGCTCTGATAAATAGCTCACTAAAATGAAGCAATATGCTTATTGTGGCTCAAAAGAAGGTACTCTTACCTCTTCTTTTTTGTGATCATAACAAACTTATAGGAAGTATTAGAATGGAATGAAGCCAGTTTTATTCGGAAGTCCTGTTTATACCTCTTTCTCAGTTTAGGGCTTTGCCTTCACATTGTCACTGTCTTGTAAGGCTTACCTTATGTACTGACATGTGCACAAAGCAAGGATTGCCTGGCCCAGCTGCTCCATGGATCCTACTTTATGAACAAGCTCATCTTTCTTATGTATATGTGTGTGGTGATGGAGAGGAACAGAACAATCCACACATACTCCTGATGAGTGCTTGAAATAACAATACAGCTCACTGATACATGGCAGTGGTCTGGGACAGTGACAGCTCACTGTAGAAAAGCCTAACTAATACACAGCCAAAGAGCAGTGGAGGAACTATTGGGAAATTGGCTTGACTCTGGCTTACCTTTGGGCCCATCTCTCAAAAAACCCTAAGAACTTAGTAATTTTAGCATGGCTTAACATGATAGTTCCAATGGTAAGTTATCTATGCTCAACTTTTCTTCATTTCCAAGTGTAAAGTAAAAAAAAAAATCAGTAGAAAGAGAGCATACTGTTTCTAAATTATAAACCTTTTAATTGAAGGAACATGGCTTTGAGACAAGCAGAAGTTAATAGTCTGGAAATAAACATACATATGTAGCCAGTTTCTGTATCTAATGAAATCTTGGGAAAGAAGATGGCCATTTGTATTATGGAATATGGCTCAATATGCAATTTTACTATGAGTTGTTCTGTATTGATCTAGCTGTTGAAATTCTGAGCTTTTCCCATGTAAAGTGGTTCTGAGTAAGTTTCATATATCACATTTCCATTCTAATTATAGGGAAAGAGTTGTCTAATGGATTCAGCTGCATCCAGTGTAAGAGGCAGATGACATTCAGTAATTTTGACATTATAAAAATGAGGTACAAAATGATATTACAGAGTACTTCAAACTGCATGAAAGGCAGTCTGAAAGCTGTCCAAAACGTTGTTCCAGGAAGTCATTGAGCTTGTAAAAATAGCTTTAACATTTCTAGGGTGTACTTTGAAGCTGGAAACATCAGTAAGCCTGAGGCTAATAAAGGAAAACATAGATTTTGTTTGATTTTTTCAGTCTAAGTAGTAATGCTAGTATCTGGAGAAAAGATGGAGGATACTCATTTGTCAAGACCCCTGGGCATTGTCTGTCTATTTTTCTCATCACTGGCCTCTCATTTCTTTCAGTTTAGGTGATCCCCATCATAAACTTTAACTTTTGTGTATTTGCCAGTCAACAAATCCACTTTTATGCTGTTTCACAAGCCTAGAATTTTCTCTTGCCTACAGCATCCATGTGTCCTTTCTAGTTTCTGTTAAATCTCTTTTTATAGCCACTTCTTCAAAGAGTTTCATGGATATTAATAGCATTACATTATCTTGTAACCTTCCTGTGCTCTCAGGAAAACATTTCTCTTTATTTCAATTTTTCCTCTCCACCTACTCAGATTTCATTCTATTTTCATTATTTTTGAAGAAGAAAACATTGTCTTAATTATGTTCATGAGTTACCTTAACCAGTAAAATGTCACACTTTCTGTACATGTCAAATTCTACAAAACTGGGGCTACCTGTAGTCCCAGCAAGCCCAGTGTCTTGAGCCCGTGATGTTTAATATGTCTCTGCCATGACAAAGCTGTGTGAGAAGTCTGATGCCCATGAGAACATGTGTAGACACACACCTACACACACGTAAATCTGTTAAGTTTACAACTGCAGTCTCTCTCTGTGTGCTTTTCTCTTCTGACCCAGGTTTTCATTGTTTTTTCTTGATTGGAATTGCCAGGTATGGAAGAGCATTTTGGAAAGATGAACCGAACAGATATTGAACAAAGCTATTTAGCACAAAACAAAGACAGGCAAGCTGGTGATTCTGTTTAGCAGGGCAAAGTGTAGGTGCCCAGCTGTCCCACCCAATTCCCACACAGTCACAGCACTGTGTGATTGGTCTGCCTTGCTGAGATCCCTGGATTCACAGTCCTGTGATCAGTACATTGGCAAACCTCTGCTCTGATACTAAGCTCTTACCGTAGTTAGGAGGGGACACTTGGAGAGGTGCAAATCTTCATCAGCACGGATCCTAATTGCAGAGTGTGAGATAAGACTGCATGGCCTAAGATGTAATGGCAGAAAAACACCTGGAGTTTTCAGAGGGGGGTAAAAAAAGACTGCTATGCACAAGACTGAGTCAGAACATCACATGGTAGTGTAAACCTGGGTCTGATAAGATTTGCCGAAACATCAGCATCAATGAGTCCCCCAGTTGTGCTGTTCAGAGAATAGATACAGGAGCCAGAAAGCTTAGTGGGGATTCAGTGTAAATAACACAAGTAGGTCAGGTGTACTTGTGTTGTTTGCTTCCCAACGTGATGCTGTTTCTTCCAGGTGTCAGAAAAACGACTGTTAAATATCAAGAAAAAAAAATTAAATGAACATCCATTGTTTTGTTAAGCGATGATTAAATTTATGTGATAGGATTGATAATTTTTCCCCTATTTTGATTTTAGTTTGATTGTATGAGTGAACTAGACCTGCGCCTACTGAAATATTGGAAGTTGTACTTGCAAAGAAAAAAAAGCTTAAGGTTTTGCAGTTTTTCTGCTTTTCAGTAATAGAAATACTCTATTTGCCAGTATTATTTTTACCACATGTTTTTTCAATTTTATCTAAATCTTTTTTCAAACAGAAATTTCTTACGTTGAAAGTGTTTAATCTGAAAAAAGAAATGGAACATAATTTAAGTTACACTGAAATTTATTTCCAAGAAATTAAACATTACATTGGGCAGATCAGTTGTGAAATAGTAAACCAGGTCAGTGTTGTAGAGTTGTTTTGGCCTGGACTGTAAACAGATAAAACTAGGAAAAAGTACATTAAAAGTAGGAAATTAGCCCAGACGGCAACAGTGACGCTTTAAAACCCAAGCAAAAATCATCAGCATGCCTGATATGCTCTCTAATGCTGGCATGTAAATCCAGTGCAAAACTTAGAGCTTTCACTTCCAAATCTCCTCTGGTCTGAGTGGGAGATTACCCAAATAGAGCTACTAGAATTCACCACAGAATATTGTTCTTAAATTGAGAATTCTGTTACATACTCAGAGTTTTCCTTAAGTTTCCTACACTTCCAGTGAGAGTGACTCCTGAACAGTGCTAATGTTGAGTTTCTATTTTGATAACAAAGTCGGATGGCATGAACAGCTTTCTAATTGCCATTATTTAACTGATAACTACAAATATTTCACATTAAATATTATACCCATTTTCACATGAAATAATATATACCTCTGAAGAATTAATATGTACCTTTGAAATTAAGTAGAAATCTCCCTGCCTTTTAGTACTCATCATCTTGTTTCTTTCATGTGAAGGAGCTGTGACTAAAATTACATTTAAAAGCACATTTTAAGCATTATATTATGTAATATCTTTGTATTTATACACTTTTCTCCTCCTGTCAGAGACTATGAAAAAGATATTTCAAGAAAAAGGGATCATGACAGGAGAAGAAAGAGCTTTTAAACCACATCTGACCTTCATGAAGTTGTCAAAATCAACAGAGCTACGTAAGCAGGTGAGCTCACATTTCACATTGCTCAGCAGCAATCTAGAACGTTTAATTTGGAGATGGACGATGTTGTTTATGCTGTAGCATCATATTTTCTACTTTGTAACCAGCAGAAGAGGTAAGACTTTAATACTTGCTTTTTAAAGAAATACTTAATGTATCTAACATAAAAGGAGTCCTGTACTGTGATTTACCATTCTTGATATTCTTGGTGCATTAACATTATGGTCTGTTGTCTGTTGGGAAATTAGGCAAGACCAAAGGATAGAAGGGGTAGATTGTATGCATGCAGTGTGCCGAGTTTTCTTACTATATGCAAGAAAATGAGCAAATAAGCAGTAGAATTTCTGTTTGGATTATGCATAGTAGGCAGGTTGTTAGTTCCCTTTCTGAATATGCTTTGGTGAATTTCAGAGTAATGAGGAAAAACTATATTAATACATATATCTTTTATATTCTCTCTTGTAGGCAGTTATTTCTTGCCTATTTATCAGTTTTTTGACAAAATAGACAAAAACATGAAAATGGGATATAATGGTGATTAAAATATATAGCAATAATACTAGTGTACCTATGTTTTATTTCATACTAATTTAACTGTAGTACTGTATTATTTAACACAAGGTATAAGTTCATACTTTTTTTACTGATATTGTATAGAATGTTTTATGTGATTCTTTAACATTGGCTAGGAGGATAATTTTCAGAAAAAATATTTTAAATAAGAATTAAAGTACGTAAAACTAATCTTTTTAGTTGATTTTTCCTTAGTGGGCATTTAAAAATGCTTTAAAGTTTAATTAGAAATATTTCTAAAAATTCTTAAGGTGCATGTTTCAATTAATTAGTATGTTGAAATCAGTAGAAAGAAGGTAGTGAGATTTGAGATACATCAAGAAAATTTGAGGGTATGCATACTTGCTGTAAAATAGAAATAAGGACTTATCTACAGGATGCAGATGGTATATGATAGATATTAAATTTGTAAACTCATAGAAGCTTTTGTTTCAAATTATAGTTGGGTTTTAAAATGCTATTTTTAAAAATTCATAGATCTTCTAGAATATCAGATTTAACTGGTTAAAACATCTGAGACAATCAAGGTGGGGTTTTTTGCTATTCTGTATTTTTACTGTTTTTTGGCTGGTTGGTTGTTTAATTTACATTTATCTACTTCCATGAAATATTAGCAAGGATACATCCTTTCTGTGTTCTGATATTCACTGTTGCTGACAGAACCAGGTCAATGTCATTCCAAATCATCTTCCTGAGCTCTCCATAATGCTGGATAATGCATATGATCTACTGTATAGAAAGATACTATGTATTTAAAATCTGTACATTTTTCCCTGTCAATTTAGTGTCAGGCATAAGCATCAGTCTATAAAAAATCTGTGATTTTTTTCATTGTGTTCCTGCATTTAGTTAGATAGTTTCATGCATTTACAGAAAACAGTAAATAAAAATATGTCTCATAAAAGGAATAATTATTTTGCAGTACATTTTAGTATGATGTCTAATTGCATTTTCAGATCATACAACAGTATGAAAAGCAAGAAAAGGGAAGTGGATGAAGGTGGATGAGCAGGCTTATAAAAGAGCAAATAGTACTGAAATATAGTTCTCAGCCATAGCTTTATAAGTATATTAATTTATTTTTTTTAATGTAAGCATCCTTATTTGAAACAATATTCTGTTAAGTCACCCTCCTCTCAATGACATCTAAATTCCACCAAAGTTATATTTTGGGGAAAAAAAAGTATGTTTTTTAAATCTTAATATAACTTCAAGCATTTTGAAATGCATATATTCTGAAGAGATTTTAACTTTCTCAAAGTTAAAAATTATATTTAGAAAACAAAGAGTTTGAGAATTCAGAACTAGTAAAGATCTCAAGAAATCAGGTTTTCACTTTGAAGGCATATCATTAAGCTAACAATGGTAAATCTAAAAAACTTGGAAACAGATATTAATATAAGGATAAAAGTGTGAAATAAAGTGGATTAGAAAAGAGCTGTCTGGTGTACTGTACCCCCTCCAGCTTCTCAGACTGAAGCCTTTATTTACCTACTCAGAAGTGGGACCAACTTGTTCTTTGTGCTTAGTTGGACATTTCTCAGATTAGATGTGCCACTGAAAACCTCCCCAAAACCAGGAGGTATAATGTGCTCCCAGATGTCCTTGTGGAAGGGAGACAAAGGGGCATAATTTATTTGCACATGTTCAACTATTTCCAGAATTATTTGAATTATAAGACTCCTGGGTTAGTATCATTATCTTCTACTCAAAGAACCTCAGTTTATGTGACATTAATATTTTTGGCTTCTTGAAATGACATATAGATGACAGATGTAGTATGTATTTTATTTCCCATAATGTAAGTGGTTAGAGCAAGTTTTGGCAGACAGTAAGCTATTTAATGTCTTCTCTGTCTATTTCCATGAGGAATCTCAGGCACTTGCCTGGCTGCAGAAAAGGTTATTGCTTTGGTAGTATTTAGATACAGCTCTTGTGTCATTAATTCGTTAATGAATTTTTCTTGCATATGCATACATAAAATACTGTGTTCAGTAAAGATCCTCTGCATGGCAAGAGAAGTGAAAGGGAATCCTCCCTATGTGTGGTATTAATCCTCAAATGTTAATTGAAAATAGAATAGAAAATGTGAATTTCTCTCTTACATTTCTAGATTTGTAATTTTGCCTTTATCTATACCCATGTGGCATAGACACATAGTATGTATGATACAGTTGTATCATACAGGACCTTAAAGAAGAGAACAGTTCTCAGTAAAACTGAGGTACTTCTATTTACCAGCCCCTCTGAATCTGACCTGCTGAATCAGCATTCTTTTTGTAATATCTCCTGGGATCTCTGGCATTTGGACAGAAAAGCTGGTATAAGAAAAGCCACAGAGCCATTAAATGCCTCTGCATTGCCACTTATCTGCCCCTATGACAGTGGTTTGTATTGTGACAACTGTTGTTGTTGAGACACATTTATTTGGAATCTTTGATGCTGATCTTAAAATGGCTGAAACCATCACTTTGGCACAATATGAAACAATAAACACCTTTCCTTTAATAGTCTTCTAAGATCAGTAGAAATGTGTTGTGATTTTTCTACAGTATATTTTTTAATCTGAGGTTCCAACAGCAGGGACAAAAAATGCACAAACTGGGCGACCCAACAGCTGGAAGAGGTTCTTAAAATTCTTCCTCTTCATAGACTCATATGACACACCATATTGCTGGGATACTCAAGTACTTGGTTTAAAGAAGAAGAATGAAGGACATAAGTACAGACAGTTTGTTATAAGCTAAATGTCCTGTGAAGTGTTACATCACAGTGATCATTCTTTAAAGTCCCAGACTCTCCATGGTAGTCATGCAGTCTATGCATTTACACAGACCCTTGCTACAGGACTGAGGCTGCAGAAGACAACACTTCTTTAGACATGAACTCTTCCAAGTCCACTTGGGGATCGTCAAGGTCTAGGCAAAGAAACTTTTCCACAATAGACTTGCATTTTTCCATCCTATCACCTTTTGAAGGATGATCAAGACGTTTGATAGGTTTTCCATTGCGAATCAGTTCTGATACTTCCACTCCTCTTTCAATAATTTTGGCTGGCATTCCTGCTAATGCAGCAATATTGGCAGCATGACTAATGGTGGACATGCCCTGTTTGATCTGATAGAAAAATATCAACTCCTCTCCATCCTGATGGGTGTCCATGGTCAGGTACTCCAGAAGAGGTGTGTCAGGTAGGAGTTCTAGCTGCATTAAACTGTGAAAATTAGTGGAGACAAAGACCTGTGGACACTGTGTTCCTTGTCTGATCCAGTACCTCAGGACAGCAGCCAGAAGGGACAGGCCATCCAGTGTGTTGGTCCCTTTACCAAACTCATCAATAAGTACCAGGGACCTCTCTGTGGCATTGTTTACAGCCTTGGCAACCTGGTTAAGATCAATCATGAATGTGGAGAGCCCTACAGAAACTGATTCTCTACTATGGATTCTTGTGTAAATCCCATCAATTACTCCGATCTCTGCCTCTGCTGCAGGGACGTAGCTGCCGATTAGAGCCATGAACACTATAAGACCTACTTGCTTTAGGTAAACACTCTTTCCAGAAGAGTTGGGCCCTGTGATGATCTTTATTCGTCTGGTAGCCTCGCCGCTGTCCACAGGATTGGCCACAAAAGTCTTAGCACATAGTTCCATGAGTGGATGTCTTCCATCCTTGATGTGGAAGCCGTGGCAGTGAGTAAAGCGAGGTCGGCAATAGGCGTTCTCCCGGGCGATCGCTGCCAAGGCTAGCAGCACATCCAGGTGTGCAGTGTACTCAATGACACTGTTAAGCACTTCAGACTTCTCCAGGATCTTTGTCTGCAGCTGGTGCATGATGAGTGCTTCCTGGTCTCTGATCTCACAGTGCAAGTCACCCAGCAGGCTGTCTAGCTCCTTGGTCCTGGCAGTTCTGTAGTGCAGTTTATCCTCTGATAAGAACATGAAGTCCAAGCCTTCAATTTCGAAGTCAGTCTTATCCACCATATTTGGTAGGCGTGGAATGGAGAGAAGGAACCCAATCAAAGGAATGTAGATCACAGAACAGGAGGGAATATGATTGTCCAAAGTCTCCAGTTCTTTTCGTGCCACTTCTGTAAGGAAGTCTGGTAGTCCCATCATCTTTCGTTTCTTCTCATCAATCGTGGCATCTACATTGGGTCTAACAGTGAAGCGGTTCTCTGAGAGGCTCCCTTCAAAATCTACCACTTTGCTGATTAGGTTAGCAATGTAGTGCAAATCATCAGTGAAGACATGTGAAATTGTCTGAAAAAGTTCAATATTGTTGGGCAGAGAACGACATGTGTCTCTAAGGCAGACTGCATTGTATGCTGTCTTATACAGTGCTTGCCAGTCACTAACTTTTGTGTTGGAAAGAGTCATTCTCTTTAAAATAAGAGGCACATTTTTAATATTCTTGAGGCAGTTTTGAAGAGTGAGGACTGTTTCATGGTTCTGAGCAAGCAGGAAGAAGTCGATAACATCCAGCCGTTTGTTCAGCTCTGTCAGGTTCCGGGTAGGTCGTGTGAGCCACAACCTCAGCAGTTTTTCTCCCCATTTGCATCTGCAACGGTTTAAAATTCCATATAAGCTAAATCCTTCTTTTAGTCCACTGGATAGCTTGTACACAGAAGGATGGATATCACTTTTAAATATCTGCAGGACACAGTAAGTGTCTTGGTCCATATTCACAGTATCTGACAGCACAAATTTTTTAAAGGCCAAAATAGGAACTGCTATACTGCTGTCTTCAAGTTCAACTCCAACCCTTCTTCTGTCTAGAAACTTAAGGAGACCCCCTAAGGCTCGTATCATGAGTGGACTCTCGAAAGGGATGATTGAGGACAAATAGAGAATTTTCTCTGTGGCAGTCATATGAGATGGGATAAAAGGAAATTGCCTAGACAAAATCCGTTGCTTGCTGACTTCTAGACCAAAATCTATGTTAGGAAACAGGACAATTTCCGGTTTTCCTATGTCTTTTTCACCAGCAGTAGCTGTTAGGTTGGTCAGGAATTTGGCAATATTCTGGTCCTGTTTTGCACTGGTCACTATGCATTGAGGGTTAAGTTCCTCAATCACTTTTTGCAGTAGCTTGAGATCTTCATTATCAGGTATCTCAGGCATGAAGTAGACTGAGCAATCTTCTGTATCATAGTAAGTAATTGCCAGCTGCCCTGCATACCACAAAACAGACATATATGTCTCCGAGCCCTCCTGCTCCTCTTGCTCCTTTTGCTCGGGCCCAAGCTGCGGTGGCAAGGCACAGCTCGTGGCTGATGTGGCACTCATTCTGTTGGCAAGAGGTATTTTTATTCACAACTCATCCAAAACGTCCTGAGAAGTAACTTCAGTTGACAACAGGAGGTTAACACTCACTCTGTCAACCCTGGAGAATCTAAGATGCTACCAGGAATTAACTATGAATGTTCAAGTGAAAAGACGCAGCCACCATCGGCTTTCAAGGAAAGTGTAACAGAGCTAACTACCAGCATTAGTTTTACAGTTTTTCTTTGTGTCCTTTATTTCTTTAAAGTATCTCTGTACACCCAAGTACCCATAAATACAGTAACGTGCAGGGACACCTATATCCATGTACAAAATCATCCTCCCTCAGAGGTTCGTGACACGCACCTGCGCTTACCATGGCTCCTCTCAGCAGTGCAGCCTCATAGCCTGGCCATCATTACAGGGTCGCAGCCCCCTATTTATGCTGCACCTTCACACAGCACCAGTTTCTGTACAAGCACACAGGAGATCGGACATACCAATCCCTGTCAGCACCTCACTTCCAATCCTCTCTCACGTCTTTGCTCTCTACTCACCTCCTCACCACAGACGGGCAGCTCGTCTCAGCTGCTGCGGCTCCGTGGCCCCGAGAGCCTTGTGCTGTCCCTTTTCCCTTCCTCTCCGGGCGGGAGCTCGGCGCTCCCTAGGGAGGGCCCGTCAGGAGGCCCCGACCCGCCCCTGCGACCGGGCCGCGCCCACAGCGGCTCTGTGGCGGCTGCGGGCGACCCTCGGGCGGCCTGCGGGCCCCGCCTGCATGGAGCGCCCCAGAGCTGTGCTGGCGTGTGGGGTCTGCCACAGAGCCCGGAGCTGCTTGTGTCTGTGCTCCCTTCGCTGTCACCACTGGAGCCTTCCTGCCCCTGGTCCCAAGGCTGACTGTGGCAGTAGCCACGGGAGCTCCGTGGGGTTTAACTGCTGGGATAGCGGCTGCACCTTACCGGAGACACGAGGAGAAAAAACAGACATTGCAGGACATTCTCCCTGGTGCTGTGGCAGTCCTGAAAGAGCTCCTGGTGCCGTACCTCTTCAGGCCAACGTTACACAGAATGTTCTTTACAGGCATCATCCATTACAATGCTTCCTCGAGAGGCAGATGTCTTCCTCCTCCCCTTCTAGCACCTAACCCTTCAAAGTGGCCTCTCAAGTACTCTTGTTTCTCACCCCCATTATAGCTTATCTTTACTGTCAGCATCTGTACTATACCCATGTGGTAACAACTTTTCTCTTGCATCTCTACTGCTCCAGACCCTTACATTTAAGAAATGAGCCATGACCTTCCCGTGCACTTGCATCGCTTCATCCTTTCACATCTCACTGCAAGCAGCACTGCAGAAATTGTTCCAGTTACTAAAAATACCAGTTTTCCCATGGCTGCTTTTCCAAATACCTTTCAGTAGTGCATCACAAGCACAACTCAATTTCTGAGCATTCAGCATTTGACTCATGCCTTACCAACCTGTCTTTGACAAGCAACATCCCAACTTCTTGTGAATGTTATTTTTTTATTGGAGCATGAAGTTATGATGTTTATCTTTTCTTCATTTCATTCCAGAAGTACATAAGACATCACATTTTGACAAGTGTTCTCCTGGCTGAAAAGATCTTCTTTTATTACTAATTGATATCTAACTGTATTTCCAAGATCTGTCAGCCAAAAGCAAGGAATGATGATTTAATGTCAGAATAACCTTAGTACATAAGGACTAGCCTAGCCACAGAATATAAAATTTTAAGTAATTACTGTGAGGATGAAATAAATGTGGACTCCCAAATTTCACTTTCCTGAAATGAAAAGCATCCACCACTAGATGTCATAATTTCAGAGATTAAGGAAATAAAAAGACAATTGACCTTCGCTAAAGTAGACTTTACTTTTCACACTGATGAGCTGCCGAGAAACCACGGGCAAACCGGGGCTTTGCACCTCTTGGGGATGTACAGCCGAAAGTCCAGGATGTTGGCAGGCTGACTGTGCAAATGCATGGAGGGTGTGCAGTGGGAGAGGTTGGGGAAGAACACGAAACAGGAGTGGCCGATGTGGGTTGCAAAAGGGGCCAGTCCTGTTTAAAATGAGGCTGGTGGGCACACTTGTCCGGCTGATTGCCAGGGGTAAATGTTTGTATCCTCCCCAAACTGTGTGTGTGTGGTGAGTGAAGCCAAACGTCAAGCTGGGCCAGCCAGCAAGTGTGAGACCTGTGGGCTCAGTAAGAGGCTGGCAATCTGGGCAGGGGTGCTGGGGGGACAGAGGGGTCATGATGGTGCTTCAAGAATGCACAAATGTGAGCATGGAGACAAAGTCATGTGCATCCTACACTGCTGACCTTCTGTCCCTGCCAGGAGCGACCTGCACTTGTGTTTCCTGTGAGCCCCATGTGCGGGTGCTGGTGAAGGCAGTGGCATCCATGTAGCCAGCCATGTCCATGTCCTTTGAGCATGGGTATGTGTCTCTGGGAGGTGAAAGCAGCCAGTACATCCATCAAAAACTGAGATTCCCACAGACAGACTGAGCTCCAGTAGCCAGGCAGTAGGAAGCACTGGGCTGGAGCTGCAAGAGGCTCCTAATAATCCTTAGCATAGAGTAATGATATTTAAATAGCAAACAGCATTATTGGGAGTTAGATTGAAGGAGAAAATTCTGAATTTCTACAGAGATAATATGTTTTTATTGATGATGCAATGGAATGAGGACCCCTAAACTCTTAAAATAACTACTGAAATGATGTTTTCTAAAAATAGCTTAATAGAATATTTATTATGTTCCGCTTCATATATGCAAAACTGCATAATGATTCCAATATTATAAATCCCAGGAAGTTTTTAGATTTACTGAGATAAAAAATCTAGTGCTTATAAAATACAACCATTTTTCCTGTGTGCTGATTTTAATGACTCAGAAAACTGCCCTTGATGATCATTTGAGATTCTTCTTTGTAGCAGCATGCCCATCGATGACAGCAAGAATTATTTCCAGTTACACATTCCATGAACACTGTTGCAAACCATTGGAAGTTGTAGCATTTTTTGTGTCTATTTGTTTCCTGCAGGACTGAAAAGGAAATGGTAGAAAGGAGGACTAATGACAGTTTTATTTTATTGTTAACTTCTGCAGTAGACAGTGCTTCCCTAAAACAGATTTGTCACATGATTATTTCTGTATTCTTCTTGCATCTTGAAGCAGTTTTCCATATTAACTGTACTTACTGTTAAAATGAAAACTATAGAAATTAAAATGAAAATTTGGTCTCCAAGTAGAATGTCTAATTGAATTTTATGTATTTATTTTAATTTTATTTATTTATTTATTTATTTTGCTTTTTAAAGGTGAAAAAAATTGACTCTGGTCTGTATGAAGATTTCAAAAACCTTTATTTTGGAGATGAGATCTTGCACCGCTTTGATCTTTGCTCCATGTTGAAAAAAAAGCAACCAAATGGTTACTACTACTGCGAGTCCTCTATTGTTTTTGGTAAGTACATCTTAATTTTCTTCTGATCAGTTGCATCTCTGAGTTATATGTGCAAAAAGCCATTTTTTCTGGAGTGTGTGTTGGGCAATTCTTGCAAGACCCATGGAGTCTGACAGAAGTCTCTCCCTCAGCCTTGGTTCTGCAGGAACTCTGTGCAGTGGTTCTCACTGACAGTTAAAGTTTATGTTCAATTATCCATCTCCGGAATCCCGTTCCATTTCTCATCCTAAAATGAGTGTTTGAGATAAGTGAGATGTGTCACTCCCCAGAGCTGCTCATCTCTCTGTTGACTTTAAAGACAGGCTGTGTGACTAAGTCAGATTAGACACGGTACTTATAGCTGATTTAAGCTAAGTGAAATGTCTAGTTTGGCAGAGATGTGACCTTACTTGGACTATATTCATGTACAGAGAGAATTTCAATGGTACCAGAGATTTGATAATAACTCTTCAGAATACTGTAAGACTTAAAACATTGTTCAGACACCTTGATAGATTATTACAATGCTAGAAATCACAGTTGTGTCCTCCTGCTTCATCTGAACAAAAATACCACTATTAGAAGTTAGTGCTGGTTTCAGGACTACGTGTAGGGCTTTGGTGAGGATTTGGTTTCTCCCTCGTGGTGACTTCTTTGTGCCACAGCATTGCTGCTCAAGTGCTTACTGGTCTTGAGGATTGTTCTGAGGACTTTTAATTAGGTACTTAAACAATATTTTAAACATGCCAGGCACTTCACAAATTCTAGTTGCTGTTCATGTTTTGTTTATGCTTAGAGTCACCTTTATTTAGCTTAGCTAAATTGTTACCAAAAAAATCAAAAGCAGTACATAGGAAAAAAGGATAGGAAGTGACAAAACTATTGCAAAATCCAAGTCAATCAGAATCAAAATGAAATATATTTATACATATTTATTTATCTACATAGCTGTCTTACTGTATTTATTACCTTGTGTTATGTCTCATAGTTATGTTTATCTTTGTGTATATAACTATATATATAAAATGTCTTCTGTACATGTTTGTGCATTTAAATATTATTTTTATGCATCCAAATGCTTCAGAGAAAGAGAAATTACAAGATCATTTAACATGATATGAAATTTTTGGTTTGGGTGAAATTGAAGCTCTGCTATTTACAAATATTCTTCACACTATTCTGGAATATGATTAAGGAATTTGGTATATAACTCATTACAATAAAAAGAATCTGCTTAGTAGTATATTTGGTAGTTATGTTTTTCCCAAACATTTGTTTAAGTCTGTCTTCTTGAACTTGTCTTCTTACTGACATCTCAGATTGCTAAAATGAGACAGTCTTTCAGCAGTCTTTTGAATGTGAGTCCCATTAAATGGTTTACAACAGCAGTCAATCAACCAGTATTCAAAGCAAGAATCAGATGCTTGTTTGGCTTATCTCAATCCCAGTATGGCCATGCGTAAGGAATTTATGTGTCATTTTCACAGTCCAAACAGAACTCTGCTTTGAATTATTTTTACATGAGCACTACATCTGACTGTGTCTAGCCATAGAGAGAATGGATGTTTTTCACTGATATTAGATTAAGAAATGGCACTGTTATTGTCCCCATTTTTTCTCAGCTCTGTATGGATTTAGATGCATTTTGGTGAAATATGCATTTTATTTCTTGATTTTGTACATGTTAATATATATTTATTTAAAGCCAACAAGTGAAAGAAAACATTATATTGGAATGGAGTTTAAATGACTTATTTTTTAATTCAGCGAAGAAGAAATTGTATTTTAATGAATTTTGAAAAGTTCCTTTTGAAGTTTTAAAATGTGATTTGAATAGGATTTTTAGTACTTGTAGGTAGCTAGGACATTAAAATAAGGGAGTCAGTGTAGTTCTATTAATCAAAAATAGTGAAATTTGAAAACTACTTAATACAGACAAAACACTCTATGTGGGTCTAGTTCTTCCTACATGTACATATACACAAGCACTTATCTTTTCCTTGAAGTACATGGAAATTACAGAAACAGAATTTACTTGTTACCTAGAGTTTAGTCAGAGTTGAGTGTTTTGCATTTAATAAGATGAAAAGATCTGAAAGGGGATCAGAATTAATGTTAGAAATCCATTCACAACGGAGAATTGCTTATTACCATGTCCTGGCAGCCAGGATGGCCAAGTGTGTCCAGGGGGCATCAGGCACAGCATGGCCAGCCAGGCAAGGGAGGGGATTGTCCTGCTGTGCTCTGAGCTGGGGCAGCCTCACCTCCAGTGCTGGGGGCA